TTTTAAAGAATAAAGTTAATAAATAATTTTTCAAAAACTACAAAGCACCTAATTAAAAAATAAGTAAAACTATAAGGACCTGATAAAAAGAAAAAAAAATAGAAGGACCTAATTAAAAACACACAAAAGTAAAAAGATCTGATAAAAAGAAAAATTTTTATAAGGACCTAATTAAAAATCAGATGAAACTATAAGGACCTGGAGATTAATTATCCCTTTCTTCCATTACATTTTGCCACAAAATAGGATGATATTATAGAAACACCAATGCGTTTACGCCTTCATGCATACATGCATGCATTATCCATCTAATAATAATGAGTTTTATCATAATCTATATACTACTTTCGATCCTAATTATAAGAGCCAGTTGACTAATTTGAGGAGATTAAGAAAATAAGTTAAGTTAGCTATTTGCAATAAATATATGTTGTATTTTCTAAAATATCCTCGCTAATCAAGTGTATTGACTAGAACTACTATTACTAAAAGGATTTTCTTATAAAAAATGCATCAATATGAGAGATAAAGTGGATTAAGGTCTTATATTTAAAATCAAAATAAAAGTCAAATAAGGTCTTATGTTAAGAACCGGAGGTAGTATATAGACTTTGATATTGTAAACAAAGTTTTGGCCAAAAAAGATATTGTGCGAAAGTGTATGGGATTGAGAATTAGAATAACATGACAGTATTTGTAGGTGAAGGGATAATAATGAAGAATATATAGAGGTACTGCTCCGGTCCTAAATATAGTACACGTAACACGGTTTCTTTAATTATTTACTTCTTTTTGACAATTATTTCTTTTGAGAATGGGCATAGGGCGTTGAAGTATAAAGAAAATAACCTTTTTTGTTTCTGAAAAGAGGTCAAATTCTGCTTTTAAAAAGAAGAGGACGAAGAAGATAGCTTTGAAAATTACACTCCCTATGCTTCTTATGATATATAAAATCGACATAACTGATTTGTATATATTAAAAATATTAATTAATTATTTCTTAAAATATTATTTAAAATTTGATTATTGATAGAGTACAATAAAGTTGTGTGTGATTTATATAACTGACCCACATAGTAAAATAAAGTTAGTTATTATTGTATTTCTTAAAATATTATTTCTAATCATATGTATCATTACTAATTCTTGATGGAGATTTTCTTGATCAAAAGGAATATTGCCGAAAAATTATTTCATCTTTTATGGTTCATTCATGATCAGCAGATCAGGTCCTACCGGCTACAGGCTACTCCTTCAGTCCACCTCCGCGCCCTCTCTTGCTTTTGCACTTTCATTTCAAGTCAACAAACCTCTCTTCATTGCATATATTAGCATATATTAATGAAATAATTATAATGAGGTCTTAAAAAAATAATTATTAAAAAATCTCAATAACAATTTAAGTAGTCTGTAATAACAAGTTTTAAAGCAAAAAATAACAACTTCTAAAGTTTGTTTTGTAATTATTTTTCTTTCTTGGGATTGCATTATAATTCTCTCTATATTAATAGGAGTAATTTAGACAAAAATTGATAAATATGAGAAATAAATTTTACATTTAAAACTAAGATCAATTCAATAATTACGTTTTACATAAAGGATAGGAGTAGTATATGGGCAATTGTTCAAAATCATGATTGCATTATACTACCTCCGGTCCTTAATATAACACCTTGTTTGACTTTTATTTTGGTTTTAAATATAAAACCCCAATCTACTTTGTCTTCCATATTTATGTATTTTTTTTAAGGTAGTTCTTCTAGTAATGGTAGTTTTAGCCAATACACTTAATTAGCAAGAATATTTTAGGAAAGATAATATCTATTTATGACAAATAACTAACTTAATTTGTTTCCTTAATCTCCTCAAATTAATCAACTAACTCTTATAATTAGGATTGAAGGTAGTATATTTATACCAACTTGGGTCCTAAACATGAGTTTTAGACAAGGGATTCACTTTGATCCTCAATATAAGATCTCAATCTATTTTATTTTATAAATTTATAATGTTATGCCAAAGTACACCTAGTCATTGCATATATTAAGAGGTATATTTATTACAAATAACTAATTTATATAATTTTGTTAATATTTATAAATTAATTATCTGGTTCTTATATTAAAGATTAGAAGAAATACATTGAAGTTGAGGAGGAGGTAAGATAAGATTTCGTTGTGTCCAACATGTGATTGGCGTGCATGTAAGTCCTGCCAAAAACTGGATAAGTGAAACGCAGCCATTTAGGGCTTTTATGTGGTTTGAATGCGATGGCGACAAAATAAGAAATTCGTTTATATGTTTTGCAGTTACATCATGGGTATGGATCCAATGCATATATTGACAAATTAAAAAAGATATACATATAAGAAGAGCTGGCAAAAAAAAAAAAGAACGTATCCGAAGAGTGTCAAAAAAAGAAGAAAAAATTTGTATTCATGATTTTTTTAATTATTTTCAAGCTAACTAGGCAAGTATATTTCTTCCATTACATTTTGCCACAAAATAGGATGATATTATAGAAACACCAATGCCTTTACGCCTTCATGCATACATGCATGCATTATCCATCTAATAATAATGAGTTTTATCATAATCTATATACTACCTGCAGAGTTAACTAATTTGAAGAATTAAGAAAATAAGTTAAGTTAGTTATTTGTAATAAATATATATTGTCTTCTCTAAAATATCCTCGCTAATCAAGTGTGTTGGCTGGAATTACTATTATTAGAAGAATTTTTTTATAAAAAAATACATAAAGTAGATTAGGGCATTATATTTAGGACCAAATAAAAGTCAAACAAGATCTTATATTAAGGACCGAAGGTAGTATATGTTCAACATTTTCAATATATATAGGTGTATAATAGAAGATATGTTTTGTTTATTAAGAAAAGACTTTGATATTGTAAACAAAGTTTTGGCCAAAAAAAATATCGTGCGAAAGTATATGGGATTGAGAATTAGAATAACATGACGGTATTTGAAGGTGAAGGGATAATAATGAAGAATATATAGAGGTACTCCTTCGGTCCTAAATGTAAAACCCTTATCCAGTGTGTGTAAGGATCTTATATTTAGGAGTAAAGAAGTAATATGTACAAAGAGCGTAGTGTACGTAAAGTAAAAGGATGAGTGAAAGCGAAGGAAGAGAAGGGTATGGAAGGACGCAAAAGCCGTGTGGGGTTTGCTTGTTGTTGACTAGTTCAAATTATTAAGATTCTTTTGTCCTTGCCTTCTTCTTCTTCTTTTTCTGCTTCCCCTCCACGATTCACGCGTCTGCCTTATCCCCACGAATATTTGGGAGAGAAGAAAATTGTACGTTGATCAATTGATTCACACACGCGCGCGCGCACACGCGAGGAAATTGTGTTTATCTTCGTAGGTCTGAAGGCTCTGGTTGAAGGGCCCTTGTTGCCTCATGATCAGCCTCACTGAGGTCCAACAATCATTTACCATCCAAAACTTGTTTGAAGATTATATGTAGGTCTCTCATCTCTGCATACTCACAATATTGCTTCATTCTCATAATTCCTCTCTGTTTTACATATGCTTCTTCCAAGGTGATGAACAATTAATGACTTTGCATTCATTATTTTTGGATGCAAAGTTCCAAGTTGAACACTGTGAAATCCACTGAAGCTTGATCTTGACTCCTCCTTTACGCGCGCGCACTCAACGTTTTATATCTCTGTATGTGTGTGTGTCTATATATATATATATATATATATATGTATATGTATATATAATTACACACACACACACTTACTTTAAGGTTTTGGTTGAAGCACGTGGCATTTAAATCAGGATTGGACTAATACAATTTAAGTGAAATTAATGAATGGAAGCGTAAAGTCATAATCAATCGAGTGTCTATATATATATATATATATATGGTTATGATTGATTGTTTTGGGTGGAGATATTTTGAATATTTATGTGTTTGTGAATTAAGGTTATATACATGGATGCAGGGCCATGCGGTATGTGTGTCGGCGGTGTGAAACGAGGAAGCAAGTTGAAGATTCCGCGGATAATTGTTGACTTTACATGCAAATTAAATTATGTGTCGCTGCAAAACTAGTTTCAGTGCTTATTATTTTAATAAATATTTTAAGCTCATCAAATCTAGAATATTTATGTCTGATTTGAATGGTTCGGATTTAAAATTTTTAATTAATTATTTTTAAATAAAAAACTATTTTTTTCAAAGAATAGTAGTTAAGAGATTATCTCTATTTTAGATTCTATACATATTAAAATAATTATTTTGAATAAATAAAAATAAAAAAAATTGAATTTAAACCATCTAAATAGGATATGAACAATCTAGATATGATGAGTTTTGGGTGTTCATCAAAGTAATAAGTACTGAAATTGATTCCGTGTGGCTGCCTTGGTTTGGACATTGCACACTTTGGAACAAGTTTCGGTGCTCATCACTTTGATGAGTACTTTAAATTAATCAAGTCTAGATCGTCTATATCTCATTTGAATGGTCTGAATTTGGTTTCTTCTTTTTTATTCTTATGTATTCAAAATAATTGTTTTAATATGTCTATAATCTAAAATAGAGATAATCTCTTAACTATCATTTTTTCTTAAAAATAATTAATTAAAGATTTTAAATTTGGACCATTTAAATCAAATATACACAGTCTAGACCTGATAGGCTGATAATGCTTATCAAGGTGCTTAATTCTTTATTCCATGCCTTTTGTACTTGTAATAAATAGATAACAATATTTCATCCCATCATCAATATAACACACACACACACACTTAACTAACTAATTCATAGGTAGATTAAAATAAATCTAGTAAACTAGTTAATTGCAACAAATGTAACACATGATCGCCGCTTAAAATACATTCGTAATGTTAGATCATATATTACTTTATAAGTCAGGTAAACAAATGATAAAAGTATATATAAAAATGATATGGATTGAGATCTTTTATATTTGGGGTAACATCCAAAAACGAACTAACACATGTATTAGAAACTAGAGTGAAGGCAATAGTAACCGGAAGTGTTGCTATAAATAGGGAGCAAGGGGATCCATGGTATACGCATGCAAAGCAAGTATAATAATATACACTGTGATTGCATTCTCTTATCTTCTTCATCATATTGGTGTGGGGAAGCAACACCATGAGCCTCAGAAATGGCATGTGGGTGTGTGTGCTGCTGCTGCTGCAAGTGGCAGCATCAGCAGCAGCAAAAGTGAGGCACTACAAGTGGGAGGTGGAGTACATGTACGCCTCCCCGGACTGCATCGAGAACGTTGTGATGGGAATCAACGGCCAGTTCCCGGGCCCCACCATCCGAGCTCAAGTCGGCGACACCGTCGTGGTCGCCCTCACCAACAAGCTCTCCACCGAGGGCGTCGTCATCCACTGGCACGGCATCCGTCAGAAGGGCACGCCCTGGGCCGACGGCACCGCTTCCATATCCCAGTGCGCCATCAACCCCGGTGAGACCTTCAACTACAGCTTCCAGGTGGACAAGGCCGGCACTTACTTCTACCACGGCCACTACGGCATGCAGAGATCCGCAGGCCTGTACGGATCACTCATAGTGGAGTTGGAGGACGGCAAGAGAGAGCGTTTCCACTACGACGGAGAGATCAATCTCGTGCTCAGTGACTGGTGGCACCAGAGCTCTCACCACCAGGAACTTGCCCTCTCCTCCAAACCCTTCCGCTGGATCGGAGAACCCCAGGTATGTATGTACATATGTATATGATGATGATGAAGCATGTACGTACACAAATTAGGAGATTATTAATCAATAATCACGATGATGATGCATATATATATATATATATTTATGAGAACAGAGTTTGCTGATAAACGGAAGAGGGCAGTTCAACTGCTCCATGGCGGGAGGCATGATCAACAGCACGCTTCCAAAGTGCAGGTTCAGAGGCAACGAGCAGTGTGCTCCTCAAATACAGCACGTTCTTCCCAACAAGACCTACCGCCTCCGCATTGCCAGCTCCACTGCTCTCGCTTCCCTCAACTTGGCCATTCAGGTCCCTTCCTTTACTTGCTATTTTATACGTATGTTTATATATATATGTGTGTGTATGTCATTCAAATAAATCTATATCAATCATGATTTATCTCTAGCTGCTATATGTGTATATGAATTTAACTTATATCTCTTCATTATTATTTGTGTATAAATCTTATGATGCATCATGCAAACATCCTCATCATAATTAAAAACCAAACCTTATGAAAGTTAACATCATTTCTTTTTTTTTGAGTTGTAATTATTGTCCTGATTTTGGTCACTCCTCCAACTTCAAGCCCAACCTAAGCTGCCTGTAGACCTTTTTCAAGCCAAACATAAAGTTTCTTTTTTTCGGAAAAAAAGAAAACAAACAAAGCTATCACTCGAGACAGATATTTGAGGAAGTTGTTATTAGTCCATTAGGTCGTGCTACCTCTACCAGTAATTTTTCTCCAAACTCATTAATTGTTACTTTTCAATTTATTCTTATTCTAATTTAACGTTTAGTGTTAAACAGATCATATTACCTTGTGTTTCTCTATCTATATTATTTAAGTTGTGGAGAACTTTAAAAAATTATCAATTTAAAAAGCATTTGATGCTTTAATTTATTCTTTGACATGTGAGAATTAGTAGAGAATGTTGTATGATACTACCTCCATCCCTTATTACAAGAAATAACTACTAAAATCATCCGATTTAAAATGTTAGTTAAATTTAGCTTAAAGTAATAAACATGTAAGATATCTCGTTTGTAAAAAGAGTGCATGAGGGATAATGAGTGAAAATTCATTGCAAAACGAAACCAAGTGCCATATATTTAATGAGAGGTAAAAGGGGAAAAAAAACTAGTTTAAAATTTTAAACAAAGATGATTTGTTTTTGATATTTAGAAACATCAATATGAAGAAGTAAGAGAGAAGTTGTTTCTTAGAAAGCGGGACGGAGGGAGTAAAGATCAAAGCGCATAGTATTATATTATCGGAAACATATTGAAATGGATATAATGAATAGAAGAATTATAATAGTGTGAATTTGTTTCCCTAGGAGCTATATATATATATATATATATATACTACCTCTGGTCCTTAATATAAGACTCTGTTTGACTTTTATTTTAGTCCTAAATATAAGACCTCAATCCACTTTGTCTCTCATATTTATGCAATTTTTTTCTAAGATAGTCTTTCTAATAATTATAGTCCTAGCCAATATAGTTGGTTGGTAAGGATATTTTAAGAAAGACAGCATCTATTTATTACAAATAACTAACTTAACTTTTTTTCTTAATCTCCTCAAATTAGTCAACTGGGTCTTATAATTAGAACTGAGGGTAGTATATATATATGTAGCTAATTAAGAGTAAAAGGAAAACAGCCTGTAAAGTGGTTTTGAACCACGTTGAGACTGAAATAATGTAGGGGTTCGCAGAATAAGAGGTGGGGTTGGTCCATTATTTTAGTTAAGACCTGTGTTTTCAACAATAATTGAGGAAAAAAGTTGTGGAAAATAATTTAGATTAGAATGCATGGTTGTTATAATTAGTTAATAAATTTCCATTCGTGGGTGCAAGCAGATCCATGATCCACGCTGATGGATGGACGCATGGGAAAATTATTTCAAGTTATATTATAGGACCACACATTATTTGGCATAAATAAAGAAAGAAATCGTTACATGGGTGGATGCTATTGTATGTAGTGCAGTATGCCGGGGGGGAAAAAGAAGGAAGGGGTGGATTTCACTTTCGTGTCGTGTTTTTTGGTGAGTGCCATTTTCCAAAATGATGGTACGCACAAAAGCTGGAAACGTTGTTGAAAGGAGCACGCTGTGGCTGTAGTAGTAGCGTGCATGACAATAAAGGACTAAAGGACATGAACTGATCCTTTGATTTGATAGCAACCCCTCTGATTGTAACAACCACTGACAAAAGCTTGCATACTGACAAAAGCAACCCGATACAACACCTGTGTTGTTGCTACATGCAACATGGAAGCGTTTCACTTTCATGCTCCCTTCTACTGATTTGACACCTGCAGCTTCTACTGATTTTTGACCCCGCTTCAACATGTGGGAACCCGCTTTTAGATTAGACCACCACATTTTCTCAATCAACTTTTACCTCAATCTTTTGGAAAAATTGGTAAAGAAAATCTCAGTTTAAAAATTTAATTAGTTAAAAGGATTTGAATTTGAAAGAATGCAAGTATGGTACGTGAATATAATATAGTTTTCATTATGTATAACATATCTTTCGTTGTGTGTAATATCATTGGTGACATGTTATAGGGAAGATATGTTATACTTATAGATTAATCATAGTTATACTCAATCAAATTCAGGTTTTTTTACCAATTAAATTTCTAACTAGGTATTTTTTTTTTATACCAAATTTCCCCAATCCATTTTCTCTTTTTGAATTTTACATGTCATTAATGAATATTATTTTGATGCAGAATCACAAAATGGTGGTGGTGGAGGCCGATGGCAACTACGTGACACCATTCACCGTGGAAGACATAGACATATACTCCGGCGAGAGCTACTCAGTGCTGCTCACCACCGACCAAGACCCTTCCAAAAATTACTGGATTGCCATTGGCGTCCGAGGCAGAAAGCCCTTCACCCCCCAGGCCCTCACCATCCTCAACTACCACCCCACCTCCGCCTCCCGCCTTCCTTCCTCTCCGCCTCCCGTCTCTCCCCTCTGGAATGACTATCAGCGAAGCCAGTCCTTTGCCCAGCAGCTCTATGCCCTCATGGGCTCCCCCTCCCCTCCCGCCACCTTCCACCGCCGCCTCGTCCTCCTCAACACCCAGAACCTCATCAATGGCTTCACCAAATGGGCCATCAATAACGTCTCCTTAACGCTCCCCACCACTCCCTACCTGGGCTCCATCAAGTACAAGCTCCAAAACGCCTTCGACACCCGGAGCCCGCCGGATAACTTCCCCGCGGAGTACGACGTCATGAAGCCGCCGGCCAACCCGACCTCGGTGACCGGCAGCGGGGTGTACATGTTCGAGATGAACCAGGTGGTGGATGTGATACTGCAGAATGCGAATGTGCTGAACGCTAGCTCCAGTGAGATCCACCCGTGGCACTTGCATGGGCATGATTTTTGGGTGTTGGGATATGGGCAGGGGAAGTTCGACCCGAAGAGGGACGAGGAGAAGTTGAACCTGAAGAATCCGCCGATGAAGAACACGGCGGTGATATTCCCGTACGGATGGACGGCGCTGAGGTTCGTGGCGGACAATCCGGGGGTGTGGGCCTTCCATTGTCACATAGAGCCTCATCTGCATATGGGGATGGGGGTGATATTTGCAGAAGGGGTGGATCAGGTGGGGCATATCCCTCCTGAGGCTATTACTTGTGGCCTCACAGGGAAGATGCTGGTCACCACCAACACCACCGTCCACTAGTTACTCATTGTTCTGTATGTAACACTAGCGAGCGATCAATGGCTTATTAGTCTTGTTGGTTCCAATGTCGTTGTCAAGTTCGTTTATATATGATCCATGAGTATGAGTTCACAAGTGCGAGTGCGAGATGCACCGTTTTCTTTTTAGTTTTTACTTCATTATGGTTAAGTACTTTAGAAATACACCTCCGCTCCTTAATATAAGACATATTTAACTAATTTGATTAGATTAAGAAAGTTAGATAAGTTAGTTAATTATAAAAAATGTGACATGTTCTTAAAATATCATAATCATCTTTCTTAATACACCATCTTTCTCTTCTATTTAATTATAATTAAGAGAGTATCCATAGGGGTAATTTAAAAAAAATTAATAAATATGATAAATGAGTCTTATATTTAGGACTAAAACTAACTCAATAATTGGGTCCTATATTAAGGACCGGGAGGGTAGATTGATAGGGATCAGCTTTACTTAGCGGTCTGGGTATTATGGTCTTATAATTGAATCAGCAAGGGTATGGATGTCTTTTCACTCAAAAGAAAACCCATATATATATATGTATATATATCTGAATAGTAGAATCAATAATGTTGAGAGAGTTGCGTCCTTGAACAAATATTATTGGTATTGGGTGCAAAGTAGAGGGAAACGCATGGATTGCTCTTATTTGGTGGCTTGTGCAATGATGTTGCCTATTGAACTGGATTGCTCTTTAGCAGCCTCTACCAGCTCCTCCTGCACTAATTTTTGTTAGACCCTAAAATCTACATGTTTGAACTCAAGAACAGAGGACAACAGAACAGAACAATGGATATTAAGTGTTAAATTCATCATGATTAATCTCTGACCCGGTGTTAGTATTGTGGGGAGAAAAAAAAATCCCTTTTCAATACACAATCTTGATATCGTCATTCAACAGCAGCAATTGGTAAGGCTCATTTTCATTCATACCTGTGCAACTATTAGTCTCAAGGTAGTTCTTTTGCTGGTCTCCTGCACATGCCCAGCTAGCAAAATTTCGTCCAACATGTAATATGCCTGCCATGATCAAAGCTTACCATACTAAGAATAATTGTATTGAATCCAGAAACCACACAAGCAAGACACGCAATTTACAGTATTTCATTATAATCATATCAGACAATATTAGTTTTGAGCCATTTAGAGCCTCATCGTTAGCTAGAGAGACGCTGTGACAGGCAAAGGAATTCTATTTAGAAAATTTGGAAAAGAAATTGAGGTCAGATATATACCTTATGGAAATTAAAGATTAAATCCAGCTCGCAGACCTGATAAGAAAGCCAATAAAAGTAACACAGAAACAAATACACTCCTTTAACCTTTTGCATAGGCAATGCATTAGCTTTTGGAAATTGGGAGATTGAAGAAATACTCACACTACCAAAATAACGGTCCAGTGTCTCAACATAGTGGTGAATGATGGAGAGGGTCTCCAATTCATTATCATCCTGATCAATGCAGAAGCAGAAGTAGAGGCTGGCATATCTAAACATGAACCAAAACCAATTACGCTTGATTTACCTTGAATGGCGACCAATTTCTTAACAAAATTTACCTACCTTTTATAAACAACTTTGAGTCCTCTCCACTCCACAAAGTTGCAAAGCTTTGGAGGGCGAGGAAGAATTTGGCCACTTAGCTCTCGAATTACCTTGCAAAATGAAAGATCAGAACAAGAAACAGCCTAAGCAATTCAGTGGATTATCACATGGTTTTAGGACCTTCAGTACAGAATCAATGATACGGAAAAGTGCAAAACGCATCGCCTTTACTGTACCATTTATGATTTTTGGTATGCACATACTGATCACCGTCCAAACTGAAAGGTCCGAACTACAAACAGGCTACGCATTGGATAATTACATGGGGCTAGGACTTTCAGTACGGAGCTGAGAATCCACATTGACGCCCCAGATAAAATCCAAAATACATGTAAATTTCTGTACCTTTTATAACTCTTGGCATGCATATTGGTGCAAAAGCATGAATGAAAGACCATAACAAGAAATAAATTAAGCAGTGCATCATTAAGATGGAATGCATCTTGGATTGTGATCTTCCACTGTAATGGACCATGCATTTAAAGGAGACAGATAAAATAACACCGAAAAAGGACAAAACAAAAACAAAAAACAAGAAGACAGTGAATAAGTCTACTTCCCCTCTTTTCACTCACTACTACTTCCCTGTCTCTTCCCCCCCCCCCCCCACACACACACACACTTTATATATAAATAAATATATATATATTAAATGTTGGGAAGCGAAAGTATGCGAGCTTCCAAATTCTAACTTTTTCACATTTAGATAGTTACATCGATCCATCGCCACAAAAAAGTAGACAATATTCAAGCCATGTTATCGGGGGGGTGTTGGGACAATAGAGGTATATAAGGATCAATGCCACAAAAAGATTTCAAAATGCAACTTCTGGGCCATTTATGAATCAAGGTATCCTTAGCAACCAACATCATATAAGTTTCCGCAGGCAACATGGCGCTTTGATAATATAGGGGAAGCCGATATCACATAGCAATTAAGCAATCTCTTTAACTTCATCAACAATGATAGAGGCACTTGATTAAATACTTGAAATGACAAGATAAGATATACTGTAGCGTACTTGGAATTCAAAACAACGTAAGGGAAAAATCAGTGTTGCTATAATGAATATTGGGTACGGTTCAAATCTGATGAATACCTTGGATCTTTCCTTTTGAGAGTAAGGTGAATACCATTTCGTAAGCCTTACTTTCCCTTGTCTACTGATGAGAATCACAAAGTGAATCTGCAATATAATTAAGAAGCCAAAGAAGTTATAAATTGCGCAGCCCCTACCAAAATCTATTAGTTCCAATCAAACCCAAACTGCATATGATATATCAGATACAGTAAAATATGTGCTTTATAACAGAGATATTTCTCAGGAGCAATAATGCAAATAGATGGTATATGTGCATGGCGGGAAATATAGGTAGAATAAAATAGGTCCTTTTGGGAAATCTAGAAAACAAAAGGGGGGAAAAGTTGTCCGACAACACGAAGATTCCAGATTTAAACTTCATTACGGAAGTGGAATGTGATTTATGGCGAAATGAGAAAAGTTAAAATCAAACACGTAGAGCTCCGTGTCGGTGGATGAAAGAAAAGAGAAATGAGATTCATATGAGGGATCAATGGGAAGGAGGAAATGCATTCACCATTAGTAATTCGGGGTGTTTCAGAAGAACTGAAAAACCATCGCTTTCTGATTATATTGTTTTTCCAGAAATAGAGAATAATAATAATCTATGATCTTAACCTTTTATCTTAGGGTCAAAATAAAAAGGCTCTATTTTATATTATTTTTACTTTTAACGTGCGGCACTGTGGCCTGTTTTGTGCTGTGTGTCTCTTGTCAAAGCCCCCAAAAATACAGCATCACCTGGTATCAAATAGATTTAGCTATTTTAGGCCCTCACAAATGGAATGTAACAGACTCTGAATTTTTATTTTTCATCTGCAAGGCTCGTCATATAAGAATTTGTCTTTTTTTTTTTATAAAAAAAATTGAGTTTCTTTCACCTATTGATAGTTAAAGGGAAAATTATATAGAAAGACCTTGGAGAAAAAAAATGAAACTAAAGGACTGCGAATTGGTTAAATGAGAGAGAACTACCTAGATAAAAGTGAGTAGAGATGAAAATACTCTGCCATGGTTAATAACATAATTCAATTGTAAATTGTGGGAACTTAGTTGTAAATTTTATAAATTAGTTACAAACCTTAAAAGATAATTACAACTAGATTGTGAATTATAAAAGTTCAGTTAACTTCAAAAATTCAGTTATAAATCTTGAAAGCTCAACTGCAAACTCAAACTCGATGTTTAGTTGTAAACAAAAAAAAAAAATCAAATAGTTAATGAGGTACTCAATTATTTTCAATAAAGTTACCACAATTTACCACCGTGGATGTAGCTCCCATTTTTCGATTAACCTTTTGAAACTTACAAACCTATATTTTAAACCTATTTTTAACTATCTTCCAATATTTACTACTGATCTTCAAACACGTATAAAACTCCTATAATCCTTTTACAACTAATATTCTAAGATTTATAATTAACCTTACAAAATTTACAACTACGCCTTTAGAATTTACAACTGATCAGCTTTGTTGCTAAGGCTTTGTTTGATTCAATGGAAGGAACGGGATGTAGTTCCCATTGTTTTGTCAAAAGCCCATTGCTAACCCATCCTCTCCCTTCTCTTTCTCTTCCCTCTCTTTGACAAACTTCGAACCAAACAGTGCGTGATTGTGTAAGAGCATTGTGGTTTATTAAATTCACAAATTCATGGCTCTTTTATGTCATTTCTTTATTCAAGTGGTCTTTCCTTGTCATTCTCCCACAGTTCGACTAGTCCATATGGCAAGGTGGACCAAAAAAAGTTGCCCATGTGGGGCATTAGGCCCAATACGAAGCTAGACTTGCCTTTACTTGGGCGAATATTTACGTTTGTACTGTACCCAAATATGTGTGTGTGTGTGTGTGTGTGTGTACGATTTTATATATAAATCAATTTCGGTGGGTCTTGTATATACAAGATTTTGGATTAAATAAATATTCAAAACTAATGACCAATATATTTATAACCATATATTAATATGAATTATAAAATTTACACTAATAAGTCATATTGTTTTCAAGTCCTAATGTAATTTAATTTTTAAATTTAATTGAAATGCAGGGACCCGGTTAATTAGGTGTAACATATTCTTATTTATATTATAATAATAATATTACAATATTTCACGTTATACCGTGTAATATTACAAAATTTCGTAAAAATCATTTTAAATGATGAGGATACTCTGATTGAAAGAAATTCAAACAGTTTTAATTTTTGCAAACTATCATAGTGTAATCTATGTGATGTAATTAGTTCCTATTCTCACAGTATGCATATCAATAACCAAGTATAAATAGTTTGTTTTCTGGAAAAATTACAATGAGGTCCCAAGAAAGAAAAATAAATACAAAATAAACCCTAAAAATTGTTATTTTCTATTATGGAACTTGTCATTATAGACTGTTTAGGTTGTTATTAGGATTTTTTAGTAATTATATTTTCCTTGGGATTTTATTGTAATTCTCCCTTGTTTTTTTAATTATTTCATATATCTTATATAAAAGATAATTTTTGAGGTCTTTATCTCATTGTTTCTAATGTTAGACATAAAACTCTAATAAATTATATGAGCCATAAATAGCGTAAATTATTTCTAACATTGCATAGACCTATCCATTTGTTGTAAAATTAGAAAGCTGTTTCATTAATACAGTATCCCATAACTTCATTTTCTTTAAAAATTATATAACTATTTAATCGTTGTATGATTAGAGCAGATAAATTCTCATTACGTGGCAAAGATATCATTATCTACTTTATCTTTTAAAATAAAAACATTTCAGTAACTTGTTTACAAATAAATACAAAAATAAACTTGCATACACTAGGTCACGGCCAGTAATTTAGAAGGCATTGATGTAAATTAATGCAGTGATATGTAAATAATTTGCCGAAAAGAGGATATAAAAAATAAATTTAAGCCAATAAGCTTGTGATTTAATGGCATGAAAGTTCCTTGGTAAAGTAGAAGGTTACTGGTTTGATTCCACTTGTGACTTGGGAGTGTTGTTATCAAACCCACAAATTGACTTTTCGAGTTTAATATTTTTATGTTTTGAACTTGCAAAAACATATTAAGTTACTCTTAAACCTATGTTAGTTGTAAATTCGGTTGAACTTGCAAGTTTACTCGCTGAATTTACTGTTTTTATGTTTTTAACTTATAAAATCACGTCAACTCACCTTTAAACTCGTATTAAATTTTATGATTTAGTTATGTTTAGTAACTTTATATATGAATTTCATAAAAATTTATTTGTTGACTATGGTAAATTATGAATATTAATCGATTTAATTTCAATTATTTGAAATATACTTAAATGATGTCATTTTTTATAGATTAATTATTTAATTATATACTTCTAATATCAATTTATTAATAAAAGTGAACTCTTATGAGCTTATGATTCTAGTTTATGATATAAGTTTGCATCCTTATCATAAGTTTACTTTAACTTGCGAATCTGAGACCTCTGTTCCTTAGTGCTTTCTCCTCTAATTAAAAAAAATAAATTCTATAATACTTTGACTGATGAAAGAAAGTTGCATTATATACATATATTTAAGACAAAAATTTATGGCAATATAATAATGCCCATAACTGTTGGTCTGATTTGATTGAATTAATTAAAGGGCTCTAATTATAAAATTCATCAAAACAATAAGAGTATTGGGCTGCTAATTTGACTATTTAATATTTGATGCATGCATTAATAACATTTAACTTGACAATTCAATAGTAAGAGTCAAAGTATTGATATCCCCATTATGCGGATTGTCTTCATAACTCACAGTATATCCAAAGAAGTTGATAATTGTGACCATTTATTTGCTCATTCGAGTTATTTTATGGATGCTATAAATTCATGAGTCTTATACGCTCCTCTCATAGAGTGTAGAAATTTGCTTTTAATACACACTCATAATGTAAGTAATTAACAAGCCTGTGTGTGTGTGTGTGTGTGTTTAGAAGGGTTTGAATCTTTAACCTATAGTTATATTCCGTCTCACTGTTATCACCTGAATTATTTTTACCAAGACACGCCGCTGAAATATTTTTTTTATAATATGTGTGTGTGTGTGTGTAAAGAGTCGTAATGTTATGATATTGAAGTTCCTTCGGCAAAAAAAAAAACAGAGAGAGAGAAGAAGAAGAAGAAGAAAATATTGAAGATGAAGAATTTTTACATTTTGGTAAGGCACAATTGATCATATATTTATCTTGTTTTGGTTTAAGAATCTGATAAACAAAAATATAAGAAACTGCACGCCGGTAGGCTTTTCCTTGATTATACTAACAATTCCTATGAGTAGATTTTATTTTGGATGGTAGTAAATGCCAAGCATCTATTTTAATAATGCCAGACAAATTATATATATATATATATATATATATCAAATCGATCACTGAATAATGTCGATCAGAACTACTTTAATATGAATTATTTATACTTACTGACATAAAACTTGACAAGAAGATTTAACAGTTTTTTTGTTAAATAATTCCTATATGTTGAAATTGCTGACCTATACGTATGGCTGCACCCCTCTTAGATCAAGGGTGTTTTTTTTTTTGGTGACAAGTTAAAGTTTAGGTGAGTTGGCCCTGGGACTCATTAGGGTCAGGATATGCCTCTAGGCTCAGATAACGCTTATAGAGGTATTTACAAATCACCTATCAATAAGGTTCTCACATTGGCAGCGGGATTTGAACTGATGACTTTACAGGTTAGGAGTCAGCTCCTTACCAACTAGACAAACTCTTGTTGGTATCAAGGAAGTTGATTCTATATGCATAATTCAGTTATTATACCGGCTTGGAAACTAGTTTAGCTGTCATTTATTAATTATCTAACTTTTTATGTTGGTTAAGGAAGACCCCTCACATTAATTATTGAAGAATAGTACTACCTTCAATTCTTAATATAAGAGCTAATTTGCCTTTTAATTTGGTAATGTACTTTGCCTCTCATGGTTATTTTCCCAAAGTAGTCCATATAATAGTTGTATATATTAAAATTTCATCAAATGATAGTTCTAACTAGTACACATGATTAGTAAGAGTATTTTAAAAAAGAGAACATTTATTTATTACAAATAACTGACTTAATAAACATCCTTAATCTACTCAAATTAATCAATTACTACTTTCGGTCCTTAATATTAAAGCTAGTTGATTAATTTGAGCAGTTTAAAAAATTTAGTTAAGTTAGTTATTTGTAATAAATTGGTGTTGTCTTTCCTAGAATATTCTTGCTAATCAAGTGTCATTTGATGAAAAATTTAACATGTACAACTATTATAAGAACTACTTTAAAAAAATAGATAAATATGATAGACAAAACGGATTTAGATGTTATATGTAAAATCAAATTAAAAATCAAACTAGATTTTATATTAAAAATTAGAAGTCGTAACTTTTATATTAAGAATAAGTTAGAATATAAGAATAATGCTGTTTGGATAAAACAAGTAAAGTAGATAATGTACTTTCTAAAAGATAGAAGTTTGGGAATTGCGAGAGAGAAAACTGACTTGGGAGAGAGGAGAGTAACAAACTGTTTTTTGAGGGGCGGGGGACGAAGGAGAGAAAGGAGGAAATGTCAGAAAGGATTTTTCATTGTATTGATGTCATCTCAAGTGAGTCGTATGTACATACATCATCCGATGCATTTAATTTATAATCATACAGTTATAACAGAATATAACTGTCCAACATAAACCAACAGAACTGACATGATTCACTCATAACAGTCCTCAGCTCCTCAAACTTATCAATACCCTGGTCAACAAGTTTAAAAGAGGGATTATAGTCAACTACTATACAATATGTAGAGGCCAGGTGTGAGGGGATCAAACATGTTAACATTGGAAATCAATACCACTGTGTTCTGTTATTGATATAAATACTCCTCCGATTTTAAATATAAGACCTCTTTCGTAGTGTAATTAAGGGATCTTATATTTAGAACTGGAAGAGTACTACTTAATTAATTTAGATAGAGTAAAAAATTAGATAAATTAGTTAATTATAAAGTAAATTGATATTTTGTATGTAGGAAACTTTTTTTATTAGGTTTTGTGCCCCCTCGCTATGAATGCAGCTCATCCTACGATTTCTCTTCAATCCTTTTTATAAATTATAAATAACTAAATTATGTAAATTAAGAAGTCAGTTAAAGTTAATAAATATGTTAGAAAAATATTTTTTTGTAAATACACCCATATTATAGAGAGATCCCTGTGGATGAGGGAGGGAAACGAGTGTGAAAAAAATAAGAGAAAATGAGTTGGCTAGCTTCTCCAAAGATAACTAATAAAAAGAATCAAACTTATTGGGGAAAAAAAAAATTAAAATTGCAACTTATGAAAGAAAAACCATAGGAGCACGTTTTTGGAGAATTAGCCAGCAGCTACCAATAAAAAAATATCAAGTCTTCAAAAAAGTTGAGTGAATGTAGAACATGATGAAAGTAAAATTCTTTTCCCCTTTCCATTTTGTCATGATTTCTTAATTAAATGACTTTTTTCTCTTTTTTTTCGCTTGCCACCCGTCTATGTGAAATCTTACACTGTATTATTTGTGGTGTCTAATAAATTTTCTCACCTTTAAAAGTATAAAATCAATATCATTATCAACATATTAAAAATATAAAATGTACATAGAATCCCTACAAATTATGAATAATTCAACTCATCTTTGGCTTCATGCATTGCATGGACTAAGGCTAATTATTATAAATGTTATAACTTACCATACTATTTGTCTATGAAAATATCGGATGTAAAAAAATATCTACAATAACTATATAAACTCCGCACTATACAAGATTTACATATAAGTTTCATTGTTGAAAATTTAGAATGGCATGATTTTATAAAAATTTTACATGTTATATTGATACTAGTGATTTATAAAAATAGTATAAAAGATGACAAGTAATGATGCATATTTGAGGTCCTTTTAATTTTTTTGATATACTTATACAAATAACCTCAATTTAATAATGTTTCCCAAAAATATATTGAATAATCTCACGATAATGAATTATTTAATTTGATAATGTAAAACTTAAAAATTGTGAGAATTTCATAGCACGTGTGCAATTATATTGTAGCAATTAACCTGCGAATTACAAGTTTGAAGAGAAGACACGAGCACTTCCTGTAAGATTATATTGATATTGTATGTTGCTCATAGTGTTATGATTTACAACAACAAAAAATAGAATATTTTAATGAGTCATTCTTTGCACACTTGTTTGTTGCAAGTATGTACATTGTATAAAATTTAAATGAGTATAATATTATATCACTACTTACAACTGTTAAATAGTACGTAACAAATATCAAAGCCGTTTGACTCAACTGAGATTAAACATCTTCTCTAATTAGTTCTTATCTATGTCTTGACGTAAATAAGAAGTTGCGAGTTGGGCTTCTTCTTAATATGATGGGTGTGTAAGTTTTTCTTTTCATTTGATGAATGACAGGGTGAAAAAACACATGATAAATATTAGAGTCGTTTGACTCAACTGACACTAAGTATTTTTTTAGTCTATACTGTCTTAGTGTGAAAAAAAGAGTTACTGAATTTGATTTTTCAACTAATGAGATAAGTGTGCAAATTCTTTTGATTTGATGGATTAAAAAAAAAAGTGCGCAATAAAGAAATGATATGAAACATAAAATAGAATGGTCAAAGAACATGAAAGCAAGGATTGGATGAAGATGAGAAATGAGATATTTCCAAGAAAATAGACACAAGTATTGAGAGGTCATTAAATGCATTCCAATCCATTAAATGGGAGAGCGGAAGCATTAACAATCCAAAAAAAGAGCAGAATCCCAATGTGATATCCCACTATGGTAACTTCTTAACTCACAGAATCTGAAATCATAAATCGCAATTGCTTCATGTGATTTATTGGCAAAGGTCGCGACCCTCCGACACGGACCCTCTCATTAATTCCCATTTCTACCAAAAACAACTTGTCCCCATGAAATTAACCTTCCCCTCTCCTGCCTATAAATACAATCCCCACACACTGGCTTTACCGCACCACCACTTTCGCAAATACACTAACATCACAGTACTGTCTCCCCTTCTTCTTCTTCTCGCCCTACTTCGGTGGAGGACTCGTTCCTTCATCTTCTGGTATGCTCACTCCTTTGATTGATTCATTCGGTTTCAGTGTTTGTGTTAATCATTTCTTCCTGGAAGCTTTGTGAATCCCATTCATGGGGTTGTGTTCAAATCGGTTCCTTCTTGTTGGTACGCGTACTCCGTGTATCACGTCGTACCCTTTTGGTTCGTCACGAAGCTTTCACCCGTCTTTGATTTCCGTGTCCCTTCAAGTTTTTTTTTTTGGCCTCATTCGCGTTGTTGGTTCACTTTGTATTTGTATTCCGCTGCGTTATGTATCATTTTTAACAGACTTCGCTTGCGAATTTTGAATTTGCGTTTATTCCTTGTTCTCTGGAATTTCCTTTTTAAACTGAAACTCTCCCCCCCCCCCCCTGTCTCTCTTTCTCTCATATTTAGCCGTTATTTGGATTTGTGAAAAATGAAACAGGCCATGATATTGAAAATACGTTTTTCGTTGGAAACGAACGCCGGAAGTGTTTTTCTTATCCCGGGATGCTGGAAGTTTGAAATGTCAGAAGTATTTTTAATTTTCCGGGAATGTTGGAAGTACGGAAAGATTATTTTAAAGTTATGCTTTATTCAATAGTCATTAGCCGATAAATACACACGTGTATCCATATACATGTAAGTATAGGTTATGATGATTCCTTTTTAGTGTGTGTATATATAAATATACAAGGGGGCCGGGGATGATTTTTTTTTTTTTTTTCGTTTCTAAAGCACGTGTATATGCCATTGAAAACAAAGTAAAAAAGTTAAGTTTGACCTTATTTCACGTACTGGTTTAATTATTGCTGGGTTTATTGCTTTTTGGCAGATACAAAGGGCAATATTAAAGGTGAGATTGAATCAGGAAGATGACGATTTTCAATGACAAGGCCTTTTGTGACGACGACCTGGACATGATGGCTGCTCCATTTGTGGAAGGCAGTAGCTCCTCCCTGCCGACCGAACCAGACATGACAATGGAGGAGGATGATTCCAGCGACGATGAGGAACTTGACGTGGAGGAGCTGGAGAGGAGGATCTGGAAGAGCAAACTCCGCCTGAAGCGCCTCAGAGATCAGCAAGGAACAGCGACAGATCATGGACTTGAACTTGCCAGGCAAAGGCAGCAGCACTCGGAAGAACAGGCCAGGAGGAAGAAGATGGCCAGAGCTCAGGACGGAATCTTGAAGTACATGCTCAAGATGATGGAGGTTTGCAAGGCTCAAGGCTTCGTCTATGGTATCATCCCTGAGAACGGAAAACCCGTCACCGGAGCTTCCGACAACCTCCGTGCATGGTGGAAGGATAAAGTTAGATTTGACCGGAACGGCCCCGCTGCGATCGCCAAATATCGAGCAGACACCCTAGCCAGCATGAACAATGGGCTGAATGCTGGTGGCCCAACGCCATGCACCTTGCAAGAGATTCAGGACACCACATTGGGTTCGCTGTTGTCAACTCTGATGCAGCACTGTGATCCCCCTCAGAGGCGGTTTCCACTGGAAAGGGGTGTGTCACCGCCGTGGTGGCCGACGGGGAAGGAAGAGTGGTGGCCCCAGATCGGTATAGCCAGAGACCAAGGCCCTCCACCGTACAAGAAGCCTCATGACTTGAAGAAGGCATATAAGATTGGGGTTCTCACCGCAGTTATCAAGCACATTTCGCCCAACATTCCTAAGATTCGGAAGCTTGTGAGGCAATCTAAGTGCCTTCAAGATAAAATGACGGCCAAGGAAAGCGCTGCGTGGATCGCCATTGTGAATCAAGAAGAGGCATTGGCCCGACAACTTTATCCTGATTATCGTCCTCCCTCATCTTCCCCCGGCAGCTCTCTACTTGATGAGGGCAGTGAGTACGACGTTGAAGGCATCTTGGAGGCTTCCATTTTAGAGCTGGAAGATCGTCGGAAGCGCGACAATTTTATCAGCACGTCCAAGATGGACAGAATGAAGGGAGGCTTGTCACTGCACCAACCAATGAAGAGGAAGATTCCTGCTGAGGTCAACAATAACAAAATGATAAAGGAGCCTCAGATTTTCACATGCCAACACCCTGTGTGTCCTTACAGCGAATCTCGTGTCGGTTTTCCTGACAGGATTTCCAGGGACAACCATCAGCTCAACTGTCCGTACAAAAGCGTTTGTTCATCAGATTACAAGGCTCCATCAGGTTTAAATATTGTTCAGTTAAAGACAATCTTATCGTCTTCATCTTTTGGTCAGCCCAAACCAAATCCTCAGCCTCAGTCTGTTCCTTTGGCTCTACCAGCACCACCCGCGCAGCCGGCGTTCAATATGCCCAGGCTCGTAGTTTCCAACAACAGCCAGAGAAGGATGACTGATATTGTGCCATTCTATGGCTCAACCTTCCAGGGCAATTCCAGCGGCGGCGGCGGCAGCAGCAGCAATGACAACAACAACTTGATTTTGAATACTAATCTTGTGGCTGCAGAAAATCAATTGCTTCCTCCCCAACAGCAGGTGGCTCAAGGACAACAAGATAATTTCTTTGGCGGTCAAGCAATGATGAATGTGGGTAGCTTCTTCCAAGATTCAAGCGTGGCTAATAACAACAATGAACTTCATCAGATGCTTGTGCCACAAGAAGCTCGTCAGTTTGATCCCTTCAAGGCTTTGAATTCTGCTTTTGAGACCAACCACAACAACATCATCGTCAGCAGCAATATCAGTAACAACCATATGATCAACAACGGCAGCAGCAACAACGTCAACAACAACAACATAATCAAAAGCAGCAGCAACATCATCAGTGGTATTGGCGGCAGCAGCAGCAACATCATCAGTGGTATTGGCTGCGGCAGCAGCAGCAACAACAATATCATCAACAGCAACAACAGTATGATCAACAACAATAACAACGGCAACAATGATGAAGATGATAGCAACAATGAAGTGATGATCAACAATGAGAGCAATTTCAATGTAATGTTTGGGTCCCCAAGTGATTTTGGGTCTTTCGATCTCCGGGAGAATATGCAAGGAGCGGGAATAATAATGGATAAGCAGCAGCCAGACATATCAGCATGGTTCCAGTGAGTGAGTGAGTGAGACTGTGGAATACAAAGTAATAGGAAGTCCATGAATCCTCTTGCGTGTCTGTGTCTGTGTCTGTGTCTGTGTCTGTTATATATCAGCATAACTCCTATCTCTCCCATCCCGTCCCTAGGTCCTTCTTGTTGGCTTCTTTCTTTTTTCTTTTTCCTTTTTGGTTTGTTTGTTGGCAATAATGATGTGTGTGGCCCTGCTACTACATCAATCTATGGACCGTTTTGTGTTTATCATATGAATAAATAAGATCTTTATTATCTATGCTACGTGTTTAGATTAGATTCTTACTGTTTTTTAAGGAATTTTGATTGCGTTTAGTTAGATGCGTGCGAGAGAGAGAGAGAGATAACTGCACGCACAATGAAATGATAATAATAAGTGTGGGTTCAACTTATATGAAAACTTAATTAAAAGGATAATTTAATTCCTTTGGCCAAAGATTAATTTTGATGACATGATATGTCTATCATTAGTATAATCATAGATATGAATCACAATAATTAAAATAAGAAAGATCAGAGGGAGACAACTTTCTAAACGGTCAAGAGGGAGCAATTTGGTATAACAATATGGGAGCAGATATCTTTCCATTTCTTTTGCAGAGAAATTAATTGCTTAATAATTCAGCACCAATAAAATTAAAAGTAGGTAGCAAACATTAGCACAACTACAGAAGACTTATCCCAGTTGTCTACACGTGTGTGTTTGGCTTGGAATTGACCTGTAGGATTTATATATCATATTGAGTATTCAATTTTTCAAAGTTAGATATATTAAATTAGACTTATATCCATTTTTATATTTTTATTATTAAATTTTTTTTAATGAAGATATAATAATTAGTTCGTAATCCTCCCATATAAATTAACATGACTATAACATACAATTAAGTAGAAAATCACAAATATTTTTTTAAGAAAATTATTAGACATTTGTCATATTATATATATTTGGAATAAAATCTTATTATTCATTGCAAAAATAAGTAGCACTATAGTGTCTTATATTGCTCTCTCTCCTCCTTAATATAAAAGCTACTTAATCAATTTGGACAGACTAAAAAAGGTCATGCATGATCTCTCTCAAGTACCACTATATAATATTAGATTATGTACCAACTAGGTAAATTAATTTGAAAAAAAAAATGATAAGTATAAGAGATAGAATGATTGAGAGTTTATATTTTAAAACAAAATATAATCTTTTAACTAACTCCCATGTCAAAGACCAGAAGGAGTATATGAAAAATTCTTGGTAACTCAGAGATATATATACTGCATTTAATTCTTAACATAACAGCTAGTTGGATATTTTATTTGATCTTAAATATATATAAGACTCCAATCTAGTTTGTCTTTGATATAAATATACAATTTTTATGAAAAAGGTAATTTCAATAGACATGAACATTCATTTATTATAAATAACTAATTTTTTAATATTCACAGATTAGTTATCTACCTCTTATATTATGAGCTTATAATCAAGTGAGGGGAGGAAAATTAGAAGCTACAGGTACGCGCGATAGATCTCTCAAACTGTGCAACTAATAAGCAACAATTAATGACCATCACGTCGATCAACTTGTAATTAGGAACTGATTAATTAAATTGCACATCTTCTGGCACTACTACTGAACCAACGTAACAGCTTATCAGTCAAATGAGCATGTTATTCCTAAACTTTACTATATAATGATAAAATCTCATCTCAACGTCTGATCCGCCATTTGCCGATGCCAAACAGGACGTGTTTGGCAACTAGGAAAAAGAGCCGGCCACTCCCAGACAAGTCCCCATTTCACCATCCCAGTTCAGCCAAACACGCCTTGACCCATTCCGGTCCCCAGCCAGCCGCTTCTCAAGCTGTCATGAAATCTTCCTCCTTCACGGCCTTCCCCTCTCTCTACACACTCACAAACACAGACACACTCAGCCTCCTTTACTTTCTTCTCAATGGCCAAACGAGTTCTCCCGCACGCTGACGCCAAAACAGCCTCTCCTCCACACTCCAAGCCTACCCCGCGTCCCGGAACCCATATCGTTAAAGTCCCAAGGGACCAAATCTACCGCGCTCCCCACCCTGAGAATGCTCGCCTTTTCCAGAGCTACACTAGCCGGAAGAGCCACCGTAGCCGGTGCTGCTGCCGCCTCGCTTTCATCTTCGTCTTCATCTTCCCCCTTGCTATTGCTGCCGGCGTCCTCTACCTCGTTTTCCACCCTAAACCCCCAGAATACACTGTCCAGGGCGTTGCAATAAAAGGAATGGACCTCACGTCTCCATCATCTGAAGTGGCCCGGATTTCACCGGGGTTTGACGTCAGGATTAGAGCCAATAACCCTAACGACAAGATGGGAATATACTACGAGAAGGGCGGCTCCGTGGAAGTCTTCTACAAGGACGTGACGGTGTGTAGCGGAGCGTGGACCGCGTTTTATCAGCCGCCGAAGAATGTAACGGTGGTCGAGACGTCATTAAAGGGGTCGAACGGAGTTGTGAGAGAGCATCGATGGAAGCTCGTTGGCGTTTGTGTTGAAGTGAAAGTGGGGGTGGCTGTGAAACTGAAGGTGGGTGGGTTCATTGAAGACGTGGGAAATGAAGGGTAAAATTGTGATATAACGGTGGATAAGTCGACGGAACAGGCAAAGATTGCTTCCCAGAGTTGTGATTACAGTATGAATATTTGGTGATGAACGTGGAGATAGATAGGGCTTTAATTACAAATTAATTAATTAATTAATACTCCTCCCGTCATTAATATGAGACATATTTAATTAATTTAATTAGATTAAGAAAGTTAGATAAGTTAGTTAATTATAAGAAATATGACATGTTTTTCCTAAAACACCATAATCATCTTCCTTAATATTATCCCTTCTTCTTCTACTTGATTATAATTAAAGGAGTATACGTAGGGGTAATTTAGAAAAAATTAATAATTATGAGAAATATGTCTTATATTTATGACTAAAATCAAGTCAACAATTAAGTCCTATATTAAGAACCAAAGGGGTATTTTTATGTGAGTCGGTCTATTTGTTCTGTGCACTACTAATTAATTCTTTGAGTTAGTTGCTTTGAATATATATCCTGTGATTCCATTCATTAGCCTGTTAAATGATAATATTAGTGTTGTTGTTGTTAAAATTGGATGTTAACATTTTGCCGCCGCCGGCCGGTTTAGGGTGGTGCTCTTGTTTTTGAGTGAGTTTGTCTTGACAGTTTTAATAATTTAGACATTATATTATTTATCGCGTAATAATCTGATTAATGGGAGATTAAGTTTCATGTGCTCTTGTCTCCTCCAATTAATAATGTTTACTTCAATAATTAATCATAAATTATGAACAATTAATAGTGTGTGTTAAATTAAATAGCTTCTGTAGGGAAATTAATATTTCTTTTATTCTATTATAAGTCACTTCTAAAATGTTTACATAGGCTAATAAAAAATATAAATTTTATTAACTCTTATTCAAAATTTGATAATTTTTTAGGAAAGATCCCAAAAAAAGCCCTTGGAATATAAGAAATTCTAGATTGGGTCCTGGAATTTTGTAAATGACAGAAAGGGTCAATGACCCAATCTGTCATTTGTAAAATCAAGGAGAATTGACAACTTTGCCTTCATTTGTATTCATTCACTATAATGATTTAAGGAATCACTATAAGGGTTTGAGCATTATCTAGATTCGTGTAGAGAATAATTACTCACTTTTTCGTAGTCAGGTGCCTTGTTATTAACTACAACTAATCATGTAATCATTAGAACCGTGTAAGCGTTACCTAGATTCGTGTAGAGAATAACTACTCACTTTTTCGTAGTCAGGTACTTTGTTATTAACTACAACTAATTATGTAATCACTAGAACAGTATAAAACGTTACCTAGATTTGTTTAGAGAATAACTACTCACTTTTGCTTAGCAAGGACAAAATTGTCAATTCTTCTTGATTTTACAAATAACAGATTGAGTCATTGACCTTTTCTGTCATTTACAAAATTTCAAAACCCAATCTGGAATTTCCTATATTCCAAGGGCTTTTCTAGAATTTTCCCAATTTTTAACTTTATTCTTTTTAATGTATAATATACCTTATGAGAACAAAGTTAAACACAATAATAAATGAAGAGTAAAATTTTACGTTCATATAAAAAATTTCTCTTTTGTCCTAAACCCTATTTATATGACTAGAGCAGTACATAGAGCATCCATCATAAATAAAATAGCATAGTTCACTGACAAGAGTTAAATTAGTTGGTAACAAGTTGTCTCATAACCTATAAGGTTGTAAATTTGAATTCTACTGCTAATATAAAAATCTTATTGATGAGTGATCTGTAAATACCTCTATAAAGATTGTCTGAGCCTAAAAGAATGTCCTAACTAGTGAGCTACCGAAAGTCAAGTCATCTAAACTTGTCATTATTAAAAAAAAAAAAAAAACAATAGTGTGTACTTCATATCATACAAATTCAGTGAGACAAAGTTATCGTAGTATGTATAGGAAGTTGTCGTCCTCCTTCAGTTACGTTCCAAAATGATCTATCTATCGTCTCGGCCTCAACTATGCCATATGTCAGCCTTTCAAGTTGGAAACTTAGAAAACACAAAAAAAATTATTAAAGTAATACAAATATTTAGTCGTCAATGCCTACTCTATGAACAATAATATTTCAAGAAAGAAATAAGAAGCTACATGAATACTCTTTATCCACATCCCAACAGCTTATCCTTATCATCTTATCATCTGAGTTGGTATTCAATAACTAATTGCTTATTACGTGCTTGTATATCATTTTTTGATTTATTATCATTTCATGTGAGATTTTTTTTCCGGCTCCACTCACACTGGGCCTCCAAAACAAATACTACCTCCAATCCTAATTATAAGCGTAGTTAACTAATTTGAAGAGATTAAAGAAAAAATTAAGTTAGCTATTGGTAATAAATAGGGTTGTCTTTCCTAAAATATCTTTGCTAATCAAGTGCATTGGCTAGAACTACTATTGTTATAAGGATTATCTTAGAAAAAAATGCCTAAATATTAGAGACAAAGTGAATGGGCCTTATATTTAGGACCATAATAAAAGTCAAACGAGGCCTTATATTAAAGACCGGAGATAGTATAGTATATATATGTGTATAACCAATTGAGAAAATATATTTAAAGAGGATCTCTAAGTATGTTAATTGCAATTAAGGATAATGAAAATTTGAAATTTTAGAAAAAGCATAACGATCTTTGGTTGAGATTGAAATTTCTTATTGGAGTTTTAAACACTTATCTCTCATACTCATTTTCAACATTTTCAGTACTCAGTTTTTCAATTTTTTTGCATTCATCTTAGATATTTTCAATGCGCATTTTTTTTATGTGTTTAGTACTTATCTTTGATTTATTTTAGTGAAAATATAGGAGATTAGTATTGAAAACATTGAAGATGACTATTGAAAAGATTTTTTTTTAAAAAAAGAAAATTTAGTGGGTGTTTGGATGGAAACTAAATCATGATTTTAAAAGTGTGTTTTTATAGTTTACAAAGTAAAGTAAATATGTGAAGGAGTTTGCCTTGTTTTACGAAAAAATATTTTTTAAAAATACTTTTGAGGGTTGCCAAACACCCCATTAGTATTGAATTGAAAATGTAAGGATGGGAAGTGAAAATGTGAAACTGAAAATATGAAATATAAATATTAAAAAGAAAACTCTGGCTGGCCCAAAAAATAGCTCCGAAAAATTTAATTTCACCCTAAGGCCATGATCTTTTTCTAAAATTTTAGAATTTTAGGACCCATAATTAATATTCTTAGAGGGTACTTAAATGTCACTTTCCCTAAAAAAAATTTCGAATATCACATTAGCTTCTGACCCAAAAAAAAAAAAGAATATAACATCAGCATCTTTACTTTTAATTTTGGCCACCAAGTGTGCTACCCAGCTACCCCGGATCCGTCACTACTGGAACCAACGGAGTTGAATAATTAAAATCACCCATCCAAGCATCACTGTAATTAATTTTTTTTTCCTTCCAAAATTTTCAAGGAAAATCAATCATGTAAATATACATAAATTAAATGACATGTATGAGTAAGAGAGGAGGGTGGGAAGGAAGTCTAAAAGAAACAATACTGACACTATACACATTCTATCTCTGCATGCATACTCCCTCCTCACCACCAGCACCAACTAATTACAGCTTTTACCTAACTATCAGGTCACATCACCCTCAGGATTCCTCCTAACCAATATCTGTCAGCTCCTCCTCATTCCCAAACACTGAAAGTATACCCATCTTATAATCACTTTATTCCTTCCTCCCATATGTGCAGATGCCATATGCAATGGACTTGTATCTGAACGTTAAGTTCATTCCTTTGCTTAGATTGCTTTTCAACCCTATAAATGAATCCTATGATATGATTCCAGTGTTTAAGAAAAACTTTTTGTGCTGTTCATTATCTCGACTTGGATTGATCACCTGGATGTTGAGAATTTGAATTACCATCTTGAGAATGAGAATTCCTCTGACTATCGTGAGAATGAGAATTCCACCGATGGTAGTTTCTCTTGGCATCGTGAATGGCTTGTGTAAGTTCTGCATAAATGTTGACGGATGACCTGGCAAAATTAGTTAGCTGACCCAGAAATCTGAGTAAACTTGCTCGAAATCGATCAAAACCCAAAACCCAGTCCTCTGAAATGTCATCTCTAAAGAAGTTTTCCACCGATTCACTCCCTTTTTCGGCCTTCCAGGATGTCATGGGTGGATTATTGGCACCTTTACCCTGGTTCTTTCTTGATGGGGTATAAAAACCGGGCAATCTCACTAGTTTAAACTCTTTATAGAATCTGTGACATCCTTGGAAGGTAAAGTGACAAGCTTTTTCCAGCCAGATGCTACAAGTGGCATATATTGGAGGGCCATAGTTTCTCAAAGGAGGAGGTTGAAGCCTCCTTCTCTTGCTTGATGATTTTTTCGGGGAGAAACACATTTGTAAAGCCATCCATTATAGCCTCCAAGTAAAACTTCTGAGCTCCAATCCACTTGGAAAAACTTGATTGCAGAGAGTGGAGCTCATTTTCAAGATAAGCAGCCATTTGCCTGCGTAGTTCAGACTGCCCAGCTATTCTAGCGCGCGCTGTTACTGTAGGCAGTTGACATGATCTGAAATTGAAGCTTGTGGCATTCAAACATGACTCCCACATTCGCCCATTCTTAAACTGTCATCAAAGCAATAATAAACAGAGGAAATACAAAAATCAGTTCATTTTTTAATACAAAAGTCATATAGACAGAAGCAGAAAAAAACTCAACCCCAAAGCATATGCTTTGAGCCTAAGAAATATCCAAACGTCTCTTGCTGAAGATAAACTCCTCGAGACTATTAATTGCACTTATCTACAAAATTTGCCCGTGAAACCATTCATAGCACTGGTTCAAGGTACACCAATTCATCCATGGTTGAATTGGTAATAATCAGATTAATAATATTTAATTTCATATTAAGAAATTATACAGAAAATCAAAGACACCGATTTGACCACTTCTTGATTGGTTCTCTTTTCGATCAGTTCAATAGAGTTCTTCACTGGTCCTAGCACCAGACCATTCTGGTCTTATTCTGATAACATTGAAAAAAACAAACACATTCTTCGTAGCATGCAATTAAAAGCCACAAGAGGCCGCCATAAATCAGCACTTTGTAAGAAAGATTAACAAAGAAAAGAAAAGAAAAGGAAAGAATCATACCCTTCAATCAACTCCTCAAGTTGTGGCTGAAGCTCTTTGTCCCGCAATTCCTCAATCCTTTTTGATATAGAGTCTATCCTGTGAATTGCAACTGTGATTCTTGAATGCAGATCCTTGATGACAGCACGAGTTTTATCAATTTTGGAGCTCTTTTTCCCTTCAATTCTAGGCGTCTTAAGATTTTACACTTCATGTCATATTTTTTCTTATGAACCCACTAGCCTGAAACCACCAAGAAAAAAAAAAGGAGAATACTGAATAGACATGGAAATTCTTATGTCAAAATCATATATAAAGTTCAGATAAGGCATGCCAACCAAAATTGACCATTTAGATATATTCGCTACTCTATCTATCTATAAATATACTATAATGCTAGACATTGCATTTCCAATTAAAAGGATACGTGCGAGTGCATGCCCACTGAAAGTCAGTATGTTAGAGCGTAACAACTTCTATGTTATCTCTGTCATTTGGGGAAAAAATAAAAAGTTGGCGTTCAATGATGGTTAGTATTTGCGATCCACATAATCGAATACCATTTAAGATTAAACCTACCATTGTCAAATCAATGCTTAATAATATTTTACTCTCTCCGATCCTATTATGAATAGGCACTTGACGTAGAGGCTTTGTGGTTCTTTGTATAAGGCGCCACATACATTATTAATACAATTTTCCTCTCTTTACCCATATTTAAAGATGTGTTTAATATGGGCAAAGGAGGAACTTTATTTAATTTTTAAACGGAGTTAATGAGTATTAAGTTTTTCCTTGATTCCAACGAAAAGTGTTGGAAATGACTTGTAAATGAGACCGGACTCAGTATTTACACTTGATATGATTATCAATCAATCATAAACATCATGATAACCAGGAGTAATCAAGGAACGGAACCAAACTAATTGGTTCCTTAGTGGAAATCCAGAAAGAAAAACATTTTAATGATATGGTTGATGTAACTGATTTATCATTAGTCATGTAGAATTCTAGATGGCCAAATAATGAGGCACAATTGGATGACTGACTGATACACTATCTCTCTCTCCCTCTCTCTTTTCTTTTTAAATCTTAATGGTACCTTGACATGAGGAAAAGAAACCAATGAATATAGTCGGCCTCACTTTCTTTAGCACTGCCAGCAGCCAGCTTATTTCCCAAGAGGTTGTTTTGCCTTCTCTGAAGGTGATTTTAGTTGTAGAACATAGTGTGTCCAAGAATCTTGTATTTCAGGGATTTTGAATCTTTGATTTCAGTTTGACCTTCAATTATACTAGCTTTTTAGCTACTTCAATTTAAACCAATTTAAAGTAGCCCATCAATAGGTTACAAAATGATAGTTCCAGTATCTTGCAACCTCTTCTAACCTTTAAATATGACCAGTGGCTTAAGAGGCTTTTAAAGGATGGGTTTTAAATACTTCTACTACTAGTTTTAAGTGCTGCATCCGACTACTTCTATCAATTTCACATTGTATAAAAGCTCAGTCTTGGCTTTCTGTTTTTCTACAAGTATTTGCTGTAATCTTCTCTCAGAATATTGGATACAAGCCAAGACCCCATCTATATACATAGAAAAGGATTTGTATAAAATGAAGAAACCATTTCAAAATAATTTCAATCTGAGGCTACTGAAAATTGCATGAGAAAGAGCTTCTGATCCTAGTCTAATATCCCAATCAAGATCACAGCATCATACTATTATCCAAATGTAAATTGAAAAATATACCAATATTGAACTGTTCATGAAAAATACAGTACCTTGACTTCGTCATAGAGCTTTTTTTCCCATGCATAGAGTCTGTCCAACGTTGATGCATGGCTGCCAGAGATCATGCAGAAATTATCAAAGATATTACTTGTGATGTTCTCCACATCGTCTTTAGAGTTTGCTCCTAATGGGTTCCTTGAAGAAGAAGATCGAGATGATGCCGTCCTATGCCAAGTTAAGTACTTAATAGAGTTTTGAGGAGGTTCTGAGAAGATAAAAGGAAAGAATTAGAAATAGATTTCCGAGACAACTAGAAAACTAAATAAGAATTATTTCACATGTTATTATGATCATAATGAACTAAATATTTGTTTGCATCAATCCCAATCCAAGTAAACATATAAATGTGTTATGTCTAAAATAGGACATTACACATTAGGCAAATTCATAAATTAAGTGCGGGTAGATAACAGTCCACCATTGATAATAAAGGCCAGCATTCATCCACTCCGGCATTTCATATTCTATGGTCAGTGAAAAAAAGAAGTGAAAATGGTAAGAAAGGAAATTGCGAGGGTATTGCCTCGCAGAACTTTAGTAGTAGTCAAAATCCCAAGGGACTCCCCCTTGGGTGCCCAGCATTAGCTCTTTTCTCCCTTTTTCTTTTCTGCTGTCTCTCTACATTCTCAAAATCATTATCAACAGCCCACCAGCCACAATTTGCCATCCACCAAAGACTCTCACGTGGATTGACCATTCAACATTAGCTTCATCTTTTGTTTGATTATACAATAAATGAAAGTTTTGGTCATGTACATGTAGTTTGCCTCTGTCCCGCACATGTCGCATTACTGCCTAATACTAATTGAATATTACTACTTGCATGAAGATCAGTTAACTTGTGTATGAACATGGTCATCTACTGAATGTAGTTCAATTTAAAATTTGACATCAAGGCTAACCAAGATCAGGTTGATCTAGAGCTGTAAGTAAAACACAGTAGAGACATTATATTTTGCAACCTTAAAAAGTGACAGTTTGAAATAAAAATATCAGGTGGTTTAATGAAATGTCCACTAGCGGTCTTGGAAAGTAAAAGCAGTCTTAAAAAACTTTACCAAGTAGACTAATTTAAACCCAGAAGTGCTAGTGGTAATGGAGATCTTAAGAAAATATAACCAAATGAGCTGAGAAATACCTTCTGGAACTTGACCGGGGTCTTCCCCACATGAGAAACATGCCTTCAAGATTAAAGATGCCACGGATTTATCTGCTAGAATCAAGGATTCTCTTGTTTAGAACATTTCCATCTGTAAGAAAATCGTCTAGAATGGAAAATCCACAATTTAAACCCAGATAATTACAAGACAGTTGTGTAAAAAATGAACATTGTTCATGGTAATGGAATTACTTATTCAACTGTTAATTTAGTTTTTGGTCAGTGTATGATATGTCTTGAATGTCTTTACACGAGTCACTATGTATTTATTTATTTATTACTACCGCTGTTTATGTCTAACATCCATCAGATGCTAACTTACAGACAAACAAACACCCAAAAATAAATTGAAAAAAAGGTGATAGATAAAAAGGATTACTTTCTTTTCCTGGGAATATTGGACGGAAATGCAACTTATTTGCTTCAAGCATTTTTGGAACCTCTGTGCCAGATTCTGAAGCTTTTATAAATAGAAATTCAATATCTTTCATGCTAGAAAATAAGTCCTTCGGAGCAACTTTATTTTCACTATGATTTTCTTTCTCCACTGACTTATTTGTTTCAGTTGGCATTAAAGCTACAGTCGATATTGTTTCCAGTGGTGATAAATTTGGGGAATTGCCCTTCTCTCCGTTCATGAGTTCAACTTCAGATTCAGGATCCCCTGACAGAGGCTTGGTTGGGGCAAGTGATTCATTATCTGCAACATTGTAATTAACTCTGTTAAGATTTTCAAATCTTTGGACCAAGGAATTTGGGGCTGGGTCATCGTCAAATTCATCTTCAGAATCAAGAGAATCTTCCTTTCCATGAGAAGAATGCTTCTCTTCAGCATCTTGCAAATTAGGAATCCCTTCCTCTGCCTTTAGTTTGGCTATATCATCAGGTATCCCTATTTCTTGTTGCCCTCCCTTCCCTTCCATAAAAGAAAATTGATGGTCAACAGGATCAAAAACACCAAAGTAATCCCAGGGCTGATTTCCAGCCGGATGAGAAGAGTAATCAAATGTTGGCATTTCATTCCTTTCATTTGAGCCAGGTATGGTATTTTGTGGTGTGCCTGATGATGTTCCTATTCCTACAGAATGAGCGGGAGGGTTCTCTTCAACCGTTCTAGAAGAGAAACTGCCAAATTTCATATGTTGTGCTTGGATCTTACTAGAGCCAGGAGAAGAGGGAGATGAGGAGGAGGATTCTACTGCATCAAAACGCTGAGACACAGATTGCAAAGAGGCAGGGAATTGTGAAAGAGTCTTCTCAGTTAAACCAATGGGATCTGTTGTTGCATTAGTGGAAGCATACAAGGAAGACTGAATTGGTGCTTCAGTTTCTATGAATTTTCTCAAAGCTGTTCCTGTATTTTTCAGTGACTGGACATATGACACATGAGCAGCTGCTACTGAGCATCGCCCATCAAGTGCTTGTCTAACAAACTTCTTCCTTTCACGGCATAGTTGAAGTGCCTTATCATCCTCCATCTTGGAGCTTGAGGCTCCCATTATCCCAAACGTTGCTCTGGCTCTCTTGTGCTCAGTCTTAGAAAGGTAGGACTATGTCTGCAAATTAATGTCAGCATCATGGATATTAGAGAAATAATAAAAAGACTAATATATGCAAGTGAATGGGATAATAGACCAAGTAACAGCATCCCCGAGAGAATCCGAGCCCAGAAAAATCCCTTCTCCGGAGAAACCAGATGCTTAAACGTTATAAAGAATCGCTAGCATCAAGATTTATGTGGTGATGTTTTATAGTTATTATTGAGAATAATACCGCAGCTTTTTTAATGGACATAAACATAAAATGGAAGAACAGTACAGATTAAAGAAATATGTTAGTCAAATCGTCAGCGCAACAAGCAGCACCGATTACTGCTAAAAGAAAGCCAAATCAAATTTCAAAACATAATCAAATAATCAAAGAAGACAATGGACGTCCACTTGGTGAATCAACAACCGCTGCAGCGGGGGGGAAAAAGCACAGAGAAGAAGTGCAGGAAACAACAGATAGGAAGTTCAAATAAACAGGATCCAGAGAGCGCACGGAAATGGATGGCAGAGTCAAGTGGTAAGCATCAAATCCGAACTAAACGAAGGGAAACCAAAGCTTGGGGTTGAAGAGGCAGGAGTGCTCTACGAATAATCCCAGAGACGAGCTCAGGAAAAAGATTCCAAACGACATGAAGTGTCAGACATAATTCCTCATAAGGCTCGTGCAGTGAAGCGTCCAAAAGCAAAATCGCGCTTATCATCCCAACATATCAGCCGGGTGCTATGAAGTAGGGAGAAGTCACAAGGTAGTCAACCCAATAAAGCCAACCTTCCTTAGAAGCAGCAACGTAGATTCGACAAGAAAATCAGTACAACCCAATACGAGCCAGGCTCTTAGATGTAAATGAAATTCAAAAGAGAAGAGAGGCAAGTATCAAAGTAAAGATGCCCAAAATCGGCAGCAGAAGCAATAAAGTAAGCAAAGCCAATAATATCCAAATACAACTTGTATAGCGAAGACAAGGAGAAAAACAGTAAAGCAATAAAATACATTGGAATTTGATATAGTTAGTGATTTTGGCGTACCGATTATGCAGTGAAGTAAGGCAACACGCTGAGAGCTTGGACTTCAGCGAAGAGCTGCCCAAGGGAAGCATTGACAGAAATGAATATAGCGAGATGGCAGAGAATTCAGACCCGAGGAGGAATCTCGGGGAGCCACGGTGCTGCCATGCAAAAGGCTCACAGAACGACATCTGAGCGTGAACGTGGAGCCCACCTTTTGTAAGGTCAGACTCACAGTCCCGAACGGAGCGTGTCGATCACGCGCTGGATCCACGTTAGGAAGGACGTGGCGGTTCAAAATTAACACTCCTCCACTTAATTTTTAATTTAATTTCAGAGTTGATATTAATCTTATCTGTAAATTTATTTTACATATTTATTAATTTTTTAAAATTATTTTTTTGACTGTAATCATTTTTTTAATTAACCCTATTAATATTTTTTTAACAATAATCAAATAGAAAAGAGAAGGAGAAACTTATAAAAGATTATTAGAGTATTTTAAAAAATATATATTATATTAAATAATTTAACTAGCATCTTTAATTTATTTAAATTATTTAATTAAATTTTATGTTAACAACTAGAAGAGTATAATGATCGTGAGAAGAAGTAGAAAATAAATGAAGAGGAGGAAAGGAACAAAAAAAGAAGAAGATTGAAGCAAACGCATCTCCGCTGCTCAAACTACCCGCCTTGATGTTAAATATAAGAATTAGAAGAAAAAAATTTGTTTTTAATGTATGATTTTACTTTATTTTGCCTCCCAATTTTATATAATTTATATTATTAACACACACATATATATTAAAGTGATTTCTATCAAAAAAGTAATAGCATGCAAATTATTATAAAAACAATATTTCAGAAAGATCAATACATATATTTTTTTAAAAAAAAATTAGTTTAATTAATTTTCATAATCTCTACAAATTTGTTATGTAATATATATACACACATACATTTCATTAGGAACCATGACTCCTCAGCTGAACGTGGAATCATAATCATAAGAGAGGCCATTTAATATTATGGCAATCATAAATTAGATGACATTTCCTTGTATTGCTTCCCAAGGCTTCAACCACCGCGCCTCCTTGATCTGACAGTTCATCCAAGCACCTCCCCCTCCTCCCTTTTCTTTTATATTACCTACACTCTTTAATATAAAATTTTAATACACTTTGTTCTTTATATTTATTTATTTTTTTAAGATAATCTGTATAATAATGATAGTTGTAGCCAATACATTTAATTAATGAGGATATTTTAGAAAAGATAATACTTATTTATTACAAATAACTAACTTAATTAATTTTTTAATCTATTCAAATTAGTCAACTAATTCTTATATTAAAAACCGGATGTAGTATAAATCATAAAATTATGAATATTGCAATTTATTTAATTTAAGCTCTATATTATATAGACAATCCACCCGTTTTAACAAAAAAATGTTATTGTGAGGAAAATTTGTAATGATAATGACAATATATGGCAAGTCAATGTCTTTGTGACATATCAACACATAGTCGGTGCATTTGATCTTGCTTGCAACTCCTCTAATACAAACTAAGGCTCTATTTGGCTCAATGAGAGGAAGGGGAGGGGAGGAGAATAGAATGATCTTAATATTATCTTGTTTGGATTTATAAAAAGAAAGGAGAGGGGAGGAGTTTTAATATTACCTTGTTTGGTTTATGAGTAGAGGGGAGGGACAAATATTTTAACATCAATAATTTTACTCTCATTTTATTTAAGATATGAGTATAATGGTCACAGCATGATAAAATATAGGCATAATAGTCACAACATAACAAAATATTACCATTTGCCTCTAAATCCTCCCAATTTTGGAGGGGAGGTTAATGAGGGGAGCGGAGGAAAAAATTTTAAAATTTTCTCTCCCCTCCTAAAATTTGTGTGTTACCAAACAAAAGAAAATGATTAAAATCATTTCCCCTCCCTCTCCTTCCTTCCAAATTTGTGTGAAGTCTTTCTCTTTTATTTTTTAGTATCCTTCAATTTTATTCCTTTTTCAGAACTTTCTTATAAATTGTTAAAACATACAATCCCTGTTCTTAATATAAGACCCAATTGATTAATTTGAAAAGATTAAAGAAGCTAAAAAAATTACTTAATTATAACATGTGTTACATAATTTCTCTGAAATACTTATGTATATTATTAGATTATGTATCATTTTATAATCCAGACAAATTAATTTTGAAAAAATGGTAAATATAATATTTTAAAATAATTTACTTAACTTTCTTAATCTCCGTAAATCAGTCAACCCAATCTTATATTAAGTGCTAGAGGTAGCATCATTTTACAACTAGTTTTATGCAGGATTCCTCATACTAAGACGTAGCTACAGCAATCGCATTTTTACTAGGTGAGAATGATGTTATTGTTGTCAGTTGGAGCGGTTGGGCTTAATAAACAGTCCTGACCCTTGCCACCTTCTTAAGAGTTTTGCTTAATTATGAGGTTATGTGTTGACCCTTTATGAGCATCATAGAATTCCTTCCGCCAATTGAAAGATAGCAAAAAACAAAAACATTATTATGATATTTTTATTGTTACTAAAACACTGGATAAATTTTATTTACCAAAAAAAAACATTAGATACATTTTTTCGTATATTATACGAAATTCGAAAATGAGTTCTATAATCATTACTTATAATTTTGCTTTGTGCTATAACAACTTGCAAACAATCATATAGATTGAATAATTTATTTCTGTTTTTGCATATTTAGATACGATTATATTGTAATTGAATTGACACATCATGAAAAAAAAGTAAGCAATTTTATAACAATTATGATTTATAACAGTGTTTAATATAAATTTTGTAAATAATATTCGCCCTGTCGTAAATATAAAACCCTTTTTATAGTGTAAATATTAAATATAAGATCTCTTTTATAGTATAATTTATACTGTAAAAAGGATTTTATATTTAAGACTGAAGGAGTAGATTGGAGTGGGATGTAATTTTCTAGAATGGCATCTCTATGTGGTTGTTGGCTTTCCAAAGTCGAGCCTTAGCTTGTTGATGCCTAAATGCTTATGTTCTTCTCTTTATGCTTTTTAATCAAACTTTCACCAAACTATGTACGCCTTCCTTTATGATTTAGTTTTAATTAATTAACAAACTTCCATTAGGGGGAAATTCACGTTATGAAATTTATAGAAGATGACATATTAAAGCGATAGAGTAGCATCTTATCCTCAAGCACGGAGATAAAAGACGAATCTTCTCAATACTTCTATTTTTATTCCTGAAAAATATCTCAAAATATGGCTTTGTAAAAATATACCTGAAAAAGGAGAATTATTTTATGAAGGGAAACAAAACAGAAAAGAGCAAGAAAAAGAATAGCACAGACATATTTCAATTTTCCAAAGAAAAACATTTACGAAATAAAGCCACTGGTTAGCTAGTAGCTTATTTCACAAGCACGAAAGTATTTAAAAATGTATGGATAAGTTTATAATTTAATTCACACTGTCTATAAATCATTATATAAAACACATTAAGCTGAAGGAATAAAAGAAAATAGGCAGAGACTTGCTGAGCAATTATATACAGGGAACATCGCAATTAAATACCCTGAAATTTGAGAAATACAGATAAGGACCTATGACAATTTCACTATAACTTTTAATAATAGTAATATGTCATGAAATTGTCAAAATTCATAATGAAGTTGTCACGGGTCCCCATATGCATTTTTCAAATTCTAGGGTTTTTTTTTTGCGATTTTCTCTATATATATATATATCTACGATTGATGGTCAATTCATAGTATGTACTACTTTCGGTCCTGAATATAAGATCTCATTTGATTTTTATTTTGATTCTAAATATAAAACCACAATCTACTTTGTCTCTCATATTTATATATATTTTTTCAAAGTAGTCCTTCTAATAATAATAGTTTTAGCTAATACACTTGATTAATAAGAATATTTTGAAAAATACAACACCTATTTATTACAAATAACTAACTCAACTACTTTTCTTAATCTAATCAAATTAGTTAACTAACTCTTATTAGTATCTATTAGAAATTAGAAATAGTTTTGGGAAACTATAATTATGGTAATTATACTTTCATGATACTAAACATAAGAGATACTAAATACTACCTCCGGTCCTTAATATAAGATCCTGTTTGACTTTTATTTTGGTCCTAAATATAAGACCCCAATCCACTTTGTCTCTGATATTTATGTATTTTTTTCTAAGATAGTCCTTCTAATAATTATAATCCTAGCCAATATAGTTGATTAGTAAGGATATTTTAGGGGAAAAAATACCTATTTATTACAAATAACTAACTTAACTTCTTTCCTTAATCTCATCAAATTAGTTAACTGGATCTTATAATTAAGACCAGAGGTAGTATAAGAGATAAAGTAAGTAGCAGCTTTGATTCTAAATATAAAATTTTACTTCGTTCTACTTCCTAAATTTATAATTTTTTAAAATACTTCTTATTAATTCCATATATTAAAGAGGTTCTATCCATAAAAGTAATCATTAAATAGGATAGTTTAAAAGATTAACATATATTTATTATAAATAATCAATTTAACTAAATTTTTATATATAAATTTAGGGCAGAAAAAAGTAATAGTCTCATTATGCTTATGCGTGGCATGTGAGTAACCCGACATGAAAAGGAAGCAAAAAAAAAAAAAAAATTGACTAATTACATTTAAAATTGGAATCCACTGCACTGGAATTGTGATTATTATTTTAGACTATAGGCAAAACAAAAATGAATGTGTTTCGATGTGTAC